AGACCCTGAACTTCAACAGATTACAAACAGACGAGCACAAACCTTTGAGCACACAGTCTGTAATTAATTTGCACAAATGTAATGTCTTTGAGATCCTACTTAACAATGGTGACAACAGCTGATATTGATAATGGAATCAGAATCAATAAATTCTGATCAATTCCCATCCATACTTCCAAGGATGGCTGGGCTGTCCCTTAGAGACAAGGTGAGGAGCTCGGAGTAAAGCAGCTGCTGTTCCTCCACATTTAAAGGAGTCAGATAAATAAGGGATCTGACTAGGATGCCATCTGGATGCCTGCTAGATGAAGTATTCTGGGCATGTCCTACCAAATGGTAACCCCAGAGCAGACCAATGACTTGCTGGAGAGATTATATCTGTTGATTGGCTCTGTTGAAGTCTTGGTGTCCCTTAGATGAGCCTCCTTTCTCTGACTAAAGATAAGGCAGCCATCGTGAGGGAAGTCTGGGCTTCTCTGCTCAGGCTGCTGCTGCTTAACTAGGATACAGGGTGATTGATGGATGGATGGATGTTGTTCATCCTTCGTATGGAAGGAAAGTGTGATAGCGTAATACCTTGCTAAGGATACAACAAACCTCAGCATAGCACAAACCTTTCTCCCCATGCCATAACTGCCGTTCACTTTAGTTTATCTCAGTTTCTCATTTCTTCTCTCTCGTGCTCACTCGCCACACGATTCTGCAGAGTTTCATCATCATGATTTTTGTGGCTTATTTGTGGTAGCAGAGCAACCTTTAAAACCAGGGCATGGCAAATATAAAACTACACTGCAGAAAGGAAATTCAATAAAATATTATCTATCATATGTCTTCCAGCTGGAAGTACAAATTGTATTGAAACAGATTAAACTACAGTGGTGCACCAGCAGTCAACATATTTTTTAACATGTTATTTCCTTATTACATTTTGAAGCTGTAGTTTTAAGTCACAGCTGATCTAAAAATGTATTTATCAATTAAATTGTTGCTTTTTTCTTGAAAACTATGAATTTTTTTCCCCCATCATCCTCACAGAACTTTGGCTCCTAAATCAACAGCTTTCTTAGGATACCAGGAGTAATACTACCAGTAATCTGTGCAAACGTTGGTAGAACGCCAGTTACTCTCTATGCCAGGCTAACCACAAGCATTTATGACTTCTCCCAACCTGTAACACAACATTCATCCATAATGCTCATTAGGTTTCACCTGCACACACAACTTCACAGCTTTCTACTTTGCCTCTACAAATTTCCAGAACAACAGGACCTTTGGTTACTAGTAAATGGACTGATTCTTATATAGCGCTTTTCTACTTGTGGGCGACCGTGGAACAGGGAGTTGGGAAGCGCATCTGTAACCAGAAGATCCCCGGGCTCTCTGTCCTGGTTGTTGTGTCCTTGGGCAAGACACTTCAC